CAATGAACAGGAAAGTGTTTATTTTAAAATGAAAGAAGAAAAGGGAACTTTTATTTAAAATAAAAAAAAAAGGAAAAGGAAAAGATGAAGAAAATGAAATGTATAAAAAGTAAAATCCCACCCTGAGCCCAGGACTGGCCACTGCTGTAGCAGTAAGATGGCTCAGGAGTCGCTGCCCCCATGACCGCCCAGATCTGGTCCGTGGAGGCCCGCCTTGTGCATGCCACTCAGCTCTGACAGGTCACATTCTGTTGTTCGGCCTACGTGCCAGCTCAGGTCACATCCTTTTTATGGCCTCTGTGTGGCCTTCTGTAGTTGCCAGCTTGTGTCCTGTTTTGGCCAGCCTGCCAAGCCCTACTCTCCTGGCTCACTAGCACATCTAGGAGGGTCACGCAAATGCTGGCCCCAGAGGGTTGCATTCCAATTACTGTTCCATGATGGAGGGAAGGCGTCAGGGAATTCACATGAATGAAAAAAACAGTGTGAGAATTTCCTTGTCTGCTGTCTCATTGTGTTTCTGTCTTGCAAAAAAAGGCCTTGCGCACCTCAATAATGTGAGACAGATTTGACATAAAGGTCTCCCTGTCTCTTTCAGAGGTGTTTTTTTTTCAGTACTGGGGATTGAAACTGGGGTATTGACACTGAGCTACATCATCAGCCTTTTCATTTTTTATTTTGAGACAGAGTTGTCACTAAGTTGCTAAATTTCCTAGGCTAGCTTTAAACTTTCGATGCTCCTGCCTCAGCTCTCCAGAACGTTGGAATGACAGGCATGGACCACCGCTCCTGGTTTAGAGTTAACTTTGAATAAATGCCTTTCCTTTCCTCCAAAGATTATCTGTGTGCTGGGGGAGCAGTGAACAGTGCAGACCAGAATGTCCAGTAATATTTTGGTTCCTTTCATCCAGTGCAGACTGAGAGGAGGATTATGTGACACTGTTCCTGATTAGCTACACTGCCTCATTACACCCACCCCTCACCTACATCATTAGTTGAGTGTCATGTCCATAAAATGATAATTTATATTTTAAAAGGATTTCAATGATTGCTGTGAGGCCAGTGGATCAACCATGGCCACAGAGAGTGGTTGGAAGTCAAGGTGGGGTGGAGGAGGTAGTACCTGTTGGCAGTGAGATGAGATCTTGCTGGCAGGTGTCACGGAAAGTGTCAGGGGAGAAGGAAAGGCAGCAATGACACCAACAGTGTGGGCTTGAGGCTGTCGTGGGTGCTGTTTTATTGAAATAGGAAAGTCTGGAGGTGGGAAAGCTTTCCTCTCTTGGAAATACTGAAGTTGAGACCGCTTTTAGGCACCAGGTAGAGAAGGTATGTAAGTGGTTACACCTTCAGTGCAAGCCTGGCATTCTGGCCAACAGGTTCAGGGTCCTATACACCGCTGGAGTCATCAGCAGGTAGGTAATATGGGGACATAGTTTGGGGACTAGATGATGGAGCCATGGGCTTCACTATTTTGCCCAAAGAGTGATTATTGATGGAGAATGGGTTTGAGCCGTAAAGGAATACAACATATTTAGAGGCTGGAAAGCAGAGGATGCTGTCCAGAGTACAAAATGAGGACAAAAAATTTTAATGAGGATTTTCAGAGCCAAAGGAAGCTTTTTTTTTTTAAACATAAAAAGTAATGTATGTTTGTATTTTGATGGGAATGATCAAACAGTATGGGAGAAATAATTGCTAGAAGGGGATGTCAGGGCAAATTTATTATGTAGCTGAGGTTTGAAAATAGAATCTTATTTTACATGTAAATTTTTTTACATTGTTGTTTTATGTTATAGATGTCATTGTCTTTCATGCTGTATGGTCAGTTCCTGTATGGCATCACTTAGGGTGTTCTTGACTATAATTAACAATCTGAATTAAGTTTGTTTAAACAATCTGTTGGGTTATGTCTAATGAAAAATCTAAGGCGAGACTTCAGTCAAGGCTTGTCACATTGGAGACTTTACCAAAGACTTACCTTATTTCCACCCTCTACACTGCTCTCCAGTGTGCCAGTCCCATGTAAAGTTTGCTCCCTGGGTGGTCTCAAGAAGTCCTCCAACAGCTCTTGGGGCCATGTGTTCCTTCATTGTGTTCTTCTAGATAGAGAACATCGCTCCACTCCCAGGAAGGCCCAGACTCACTTTTCTTTTTTTTTTTTTTTTAATTTTATTTATTTGAGAGAGAGAGAGAGAGAGAGAGAGAGAGAGAGAGAGAGAGAGGCCAGCTCAGCCCACCAGGGGGCGGGCTGGCTGGCATGTGGTGCTGTGGGATTGACCGGTCCCTGATGCTTTTGCTAAGCTTGTTCTAAGTAGGTGCTTTAGACCACTGAGCCATCTCTCCAGCCCCCAGACTCACTTTTCATAGACATGATCAAGCCACGTGCCCACTCATTGACCAATTTCTGCAGCCATGCAGGAGGAATGTAAGGATTGGCTGGAAGAACTAGCAGCAGCCAGTTCCCAGCTGAAACAAAGGGCAGCCCTTTACACACATCTGAATGAATGTGAGCTGCATTGTGTTACAACAGCAATAAACCTTCTCAGGCAACCAGCAAAGATGATGCATGCTAAATGCTTATGTCCCAGAGGAAGTGAAAAGAGCATTTGGGAATGACTTTATTTACTATTTGATGGCTACAGATAAGTATGCATTTGAGAGGCAGACACTTAAATTGCATGTCATTACTATAACGAAGCTAAAATGTCTGGATTTGATGTTCACTGGCTTCTTACATGTAAGCCAAATTTAGTCAATATGTTAAGGTAAAAAAAAAAAATCTCTCTGTAGCATAATAGTTTGCTAACAATTAGCTTTACAGGCTATACTGCAGTAAGGAAGTGTAATTTGGCTCATTAAAGGCAGCAGCTTCTACACACTACCAGTACAGTTTGCTGCTCTGTGCCCACCAACTGTGGTGTTGACTCAAACAGCAGCTGTTCTGTGTCAGCCGTAAGGAGTGAGAGCGGCACACGAGGCGCAGCTAGCAGTTGCAGTATGGGAGCCTTTTGGGCCTTGAGTTCAGCTTCACTTGGGTCGCTAATGAATTCCTTCCATGTCAACACCAAGATACCTCATTATACCCAGACCTGCCTCAGTCTGCCAACACTTTCTTTAATGGGATAGTTCAGATTCCTTAGATTATGAGGCCATGGGATTACATAATGCTATAATTATTCCTGGCAGGGCACTGCCTGGCCAGATGCCCTCTCTTCAACTCAGCCTGCCCCTTGTGTAGGGCTCTCAGCTCTTGTCCCAGAAAGTCCATATGAACAAGAAGTCAAGGTCATGGTTATTGCAGCTCTTTGAGGAGACCGCTCTTTTGCAAAGTTCAACCTCTCTGGCACTGGCCCAGACTATCATAAATAAAACTGACCACATAAACCACTAAGTGGTCTGTTTGCTTTAATAGCTACCCTTTTCTTTTCTTTCAGACTCCCATGTTTATGAGAACACCAAGTTTTATTTTGCTTTCTTCCTTAGGATGTAGCATCACACCAAACACTTCTTGTTTCGTGTGGTTGACTATGCATAGAAATCTTTCATAAAAGAACAAAATGGATTTATGAATAGCTGAATGGTGAACTGTCTTTGGTTATTTTTGTGCTTGCCCAGGGTTTTCTGGGGGCCAGTTCCAGGTGAGCAGGCCATCCAGATGTTACCTGGGCAACAACAACTTCCCTGAACTTCCACACTGGGAAGTGAAAGCAGTTGTGTGGCCCAGCTAGCACCAAGAACCTCATTTTCACCTCATTAGAATCTTCTTTCTAGAGGGTGACAGAACAAATCACTGGGCTGCATCTGAATGGAGGACTCACTGCTCCCCACTCCAGAGCTAGCAAACTGAACTCTACTCAGCAGTTTGGAGTCCTTGGGCACAGCCTCTCCAAGGAGCTAGGAACAAAGAGCTAGACCAGTGGGGGCCAGTAGTTGCCCACAAAGAGCTGCCAGCCCAGAGCCCTCCTTCCACTGCTCTCTCCTCATCTTTTACCACCCTTTTGTCTAAGCTCCTTTCAGCACAATAATGTAAAGATTTCGCGGCTTTTATTTTCTCTTAATGTTCATCTACAATTCTAACTAATGTCTGTGGGGAGAAATCCCACCAAGTCCGCACTGGGCTGCAGTGTTTCGCCCTCTCCTGTGAGGCTGCATCTGTGCCTGCCGCTGTGGGGCAGAGGACTGCCAGGCTTCCACACAGCCCTGGCTGGGCCAGCGCCATGTGAACAGAGCGACAACACACCAGCTGTATTTAAGAAGTTTTAAGAGGTAACACAAAAATGAAGTATAAGAAGTAAAGCCATGCTGTTATGTTGAGCTGTAGGGGACTCAGGTCAACAATTTCTGACATTGCCAGTGAAGCAGAAGACCCAATACTTTTATGGACTACTGGACTCTTTTAGAATATTTTGCTTAGTTTACACACCTATAATATTTAAATGATGGAACATAACAAAAAAAAGGGATACAGATGAATGTCCATTTTGTATCTGTGTATTCAAAGTGGTTAGGATAGATAAATAGTTACATTCTCCTAATGAATAGAGGGATTTGTTCTAGTGGTGCTTGTAAATAGGATATCATGTCCGCATCTTGTACAGCAAATAACCACTAGGAAGAATGCAGGCAATGTGTTAATTATTGAAACTGTCCTACCAATTTGGTTTGAAACTGTCTCATTGCTATTTGTTTCTCAATAAAATTATGGGGAAAAGAAGAGGTAATACAAAGCTTGAAGCTGGAGTTGCCTGCTTTTGCCACTCTTTTGTTCCTCCTTCTGCCCTGATCCATACAGAGATGTCTTTGTCTTTGGAGCTGCAATAAGAAGGTATTGTGAAGAGCTGTAGTTGCCAAAATGTGGCACAGGTGAAAAATAAAAGTATGTTCTTGTAAGCCACCGGGAATCTAGCCCACAGAATTTAGTCAGAATTTATAAGCCATTACTCAGCAGAACTGACTAATGCAAACACCAGATCACAAATAATAAATGCAAGGTATAACATACATATTCTCAATTTCCAAGTCACCTTTATTTCTATAAAAGTATACTGAATAAATTATCTCAACATATACAAATAGAATCTATATAAATAGAAAAATCCCAATATATAAAACCTTTTAAAAATTACATAAATATACACAATGTTAGCCATAGCTATAAGTACCTTAAATCATGAACTTTATGTAGTTTGTCATTAGTAGTCTCTAAAGCTATAGTTAGCTGTCTGTCAGATGTTCTACTACACCACTTATGTCAGTTAAAGTGCCAAACTGTAATGCATATTAGAGAAGTACCCAAAATAGATGTCTCTTGTACCCAAAATAGATGTCTCGTAACGTAAAAGCTTGCCAATTGCTCTGAACTTCCAAAAGTACTCCTAGAAAAACAAAAGAACCTAAATACCGTATTATAAAAGAACAGATGTACATTAACAAGGTCTACCCGATTTCATTTTACTTCCCAAAAGCATCTCACGTCAGCCTCCTCCAAGTTCTTCTGAAGTCCACCCTCGACTTCTTAAGGCATCTGCTCAACCGCTTTTGCCCTGAAGCCTAGTTTCTTTTTTAAGTCCAGAATATACAATCTAAGGCATGATATGTGCAAAAGGTGCCATAGTGTTAAAAATTACAACCTGGAATTGGTTGTACCGTTTGTTACATTCCAAAGTGAGTGATGCTGATATCGAAACCAGAGTGGTAACCGTAATGACAGGTCGCATGAGGATTTCCTGAGCCCAGAGGCTCATGCTCCACACTCGCTTGTGCTTACGCACAGTCTCTGGGACGTTCTCAGTCACTGTGCAGTGCAGCACGTGCAGGACTCTGCAGCTCCGACAATACCTCCTTTACGCGATGTTCAGTGGTGAGTTCTCCTTCCCACCCTGCTTTGCTCTGGCCTTTCTGCACTTGTGCAGAAACAGGGACAGGACAACAATAATGATGATGACCAAAATCACTAATCCCACGATGAAGAACATTTCTGAAAAGCAAAAGGCACCACATCAACGTGGAGAACTCAAGACTCCAGAGCACACCACCCAGCCTGTGGGCAACCTGAACTTCTTTCACTCTTCCCACCACATGGAACTTAAGCAAAGACTCTGTCAAACCTACATGGTTTAGAGGTAGCAACAACAGTTAGAAGCACCAAATGTGCCAATTAATGATGTCCATGGTCTAGAAAAGGTACATGTGGTTGAAATAAGAACAGTTGTTGGGAAGGTGGCTAAAGATGTTACTGAGTTTGGTGGCAGTGGCTTTAGCAGAAGATGAAGGGCAAGGGAAAGGAGAGAACCCAACGCTACCAGGATGAAGTGAGAAGGAAAAGCTAACTGGCAGGTGCGGCTTGGTGACTTCCTGGAGGAGACCACCTTTGAAACACTTCCCCGAGGACACATTTCAGCAAACAAAGAAGAATCAGGGAGGGACAGAGCTGACCAAGGTAGAGATGGCAGAATTAGAACAGGCTGTAATTTTAAGTATTTTTATTTTATTACTATATGTTTACAATCGTCTTGGGGGGTGATTACATGAACATGCCATAGTTTGTTTATTTTTGTTTTTAAAATCTTTTTCCCCTTCTCTCTCTGAACATGCATGTCGTAAGTGGGATGCCCCAGAGGGTGCAGGACCAAAGTGAAAATGTCAACAGCTGCGAGAAGAGTGAACACTCTTACGTGTTCGATTGGTGTTCATAGCTGGGCCATCACACTGATTTCTACTGCTTGTTCTGTTTAATTTTGATCAAGACATGCTACTGTCTATATTTGCACATGTCTACTTTTTACCTTTGCTTTTCTCTTTTATTCTACACAACAATAATAGTTCTATGCCTCCTGGATAGTTTTCAAATTTGTTCACTAAGGTTCACACTTAGTAGAGGGTTGAGGCTCAATAAAAGTTTTCTTGTTGTGGTTGAAAAAATGTTACTTAAAACTGATTTTATATTTTACAACCTCATCTCAAGGCCTAGGTCACCGTGACCATCCCCTGAGGCTTCTGCTCCAAGAGAATACTCAAGTTTGAAGGGAGGCTGTTGAAGGGCTGGACTCAGAGCCTCAGCCTCGGGCAGTGTACAACACCCAGAGTGAGCATCTGAACACAACACAACGCCAGGCAGCAGTTCACGGTGGTCGTGCACTGACCGCTCCATAAGCTGCTTCCCCCAGCATCAGAGCATCAGCAGAGAAAGCTGTGTCCTGCATGTGTCCTGAGCCTAAATATGGTGCAAGTCCAAGGCTCAAGAGGTTAGCTCACAGTAAGCACTAAGGGAAACACTTGCGGAAAGCAAGGGAAAAAGACAGAATCATTTCCAAAGGCCGAAATCCTAACAGAATACAAAACCTTAAAACACTCAAGGCTGCTTCCCCTGCAGATTTAACAAAAGAGGTACATCTTGGCTGTAAGGGGGGCATCTGAGGTTCCTAGGTGAAGGACAGGCAGGCCACTCACCTCTGAACACACCCTTCTCATGTCTTGTACACACTGTCATGCTTTCTGGGCTCTTCTTGTTAACTTTTCGGGATGGAATCAGAGCTTGAACAAGGAAACAGTAATCTTGTCCTTTCTCCACATCAATTAAAAATTCATTAGTGTTTGTCACAGCTGTTTTCTGTGAAAAGATAAAGAGATCTTTGTTCATCTGGCTCGAAGTGAATTCTTTACCTTTTTTCTAGGTTGCTGGGGAAGTAAAAGCCTGGGCTCCAAGAGAATCCACATGACCCAACTGACACATAAAGAATTAGAAGCGAGTGGCTAATCAGTTACCCCTGATATCTATCAGTGATGCCTTTGCAAGAGTGAAAAGATTCAACTTAGGCAGGGCCAATCCACTTTAGCCCCTTTAAAAAAATATCTGCGGGAAAAGGAAGAAGAAAGGTTTACTTATTAAGTAAAAAGTAAGTGTAGGGGCAGGGGATGTACCTCTGTGATAGCACTTGTGTGGGGTGTGTAATGACCCCGTGTCATACAAGAAAAGAAAGGGAAGGAAAGAAAAAGGAGACAGGGAGGGGAGGGAAGCGAAGAAGCTAAAATGTGTCTCTGAGATTCTCAAGGAAGAAATAGGAAATGTGAAAGTTGACTGGACCCCAAAAGATTACTTCATCCCATCCATGGCTGAGGAAACTGGGGAACCTTAGGGGGTTTTTGTGCCCAAAGTCATGAAGCAGCTCAGCTGTGGGCAGAACCAGGACCTGCTGTCCTGCCCCTCTGGCTCTCCCACACTATCTGCTCAGCCACACTGTTGTGCAGGACTTGCACTGGGGAAGGAATGGGCTGTAAAAGTCAAGGATCCACAATATAAGACAAGGGATAAAAATCACATGAAAAAAACCTCACCTTTCCTGTAGTTGAAGCTTTCCAATAATAGAGTATATAATTTAAGTTTTTGCCAAAAATGTCCCGAAGACTTAGGAAAGTGCCATTGCTTCTGACTAACGTCTGTGTGTCATGTACTGTCACATTCAGTTTCGTCCCAACTTGTTTAAAACTCGCAATTTTTGGCAGTCCAAGTTTTGCTGAAATGTGAAAAATGGGCTTGGTTTGAACCAAAGAATTCTATCCACAATAAGCCTTATTTAGTTGTCACAGTTAACAACTCCATCATGTCTTGCAGCAAACACTGGTACAGAAATGAGGTAGCAATAGCTGTGGGGGCCTGAGAGCTAAATCCTAAGACACTCCAGAGCAGTGTCGTTCAGTGGGAATACAACAGGAGCCTCAGATAAAATGTTAGACTTCAGGGCTGGAGAGATGGCTCAGTGGTCTAAGGCACCTACTTAGAACAAGCTT